CACGTCACTCGCGCGATTCCCCACCCCTCTCTCCCTTACCTTAGTGTCGCCGCACACGGGCCACACGCCACAGCCACAAACGCCGCCATGAGAAGCAAGAAGCGGCTACTAAAGTGGCTGAAGTGCTCGACAGCGGCCGACTAAGGTAAGGGAGAGAGGGGTGGAGAATCGCGCGAGTGACGTATGGCGACGCTTTGTATTAAGTGGCCGGTGCGGGCCACAAGAAGCGAGCAACGACGATTTTAGCGTGTGGCGGCCACCGGCGTACCGTGTGTGGTGAGTCCATATAAAATGTATGAAAACTACAAGAAATACGCCGGTGGCGGCGTTTTGTGGTTGTGGTCGGTGGCCCGTGTGCGGCGACACTTAGTCGGCCGCTGTCGCGCGCTACAGCCACTTTAGTAGCCGCTTCTAGCTTCTCGTGGCGGCGTTTGTGGCTGTGGCGTGTGGCCCGTGTGCGGCGACACTTACGTCCGTTGTGACGTTGCTGTTCGAGTTTTTATACAAAGTGTGACATTGACATTTCGCGCTCGCAAACTTTTCGAGTTCGATATTGGCTCGTGCTACGGGTGCTGTCTTCGCATTGGGCCGCGTAATGGGTAACTGTTTCTGCTGCTACATTTCTCTATTTTCATCTATTTTATTATTTTAGTGGACAGGTAGTAAATAAATGAAAATAAATCTGCACGAAACTAAAGAAAACGGAGGTATTACATAATTTGATCCCCCCTTCCCCTTTCCACCACCGGACGACCAGGCACGGCGAGGGCTGTCACCCTTATGTTGTCGAAGTTCCTCCCATTCGCACGAAGCGATTTGCTTCCGCTTTCATTATGCGAACGGCTACAGAGTGGAACTCCTTGCCGAGGTCGGTTTTCCCGGACCAATATAATCTGGACATCTTCAAGGCCAGAGTGAACAGGCATCTTCTAGGCAGGCGTGTACCATCCTAGGCCTCATCATCGCTTTCCATCAGGCGAGATTGTGGTAAAACGCCATGCCTAAGCATATAAAAAAAACGGCGACGAAGGCTCAGTCAAAAGTTAGTAGTCACACTAATATTGTAAAGGCGAAAGTTTGTGAGTGTGTATGTTTGTTACTTCTTCACGTCTAAACGGCTGGAGCGATTTCTATAAAATTTGGTATGGAGTTAGCTGACACCCTGGATTAATACATAGGCTACGTTTTACTGCGGGAAAATATCCCTTTAAGAACCGCGGGTATCACCGCAGGGCACAGCTGGTTTAGAAAAGTGTGCATGTGCATCTTCACGGTATCTTCAATCAAAATAGTTCATTCATATATTCAAATTGGTTAACTATGTGATAAGTCGGGTAACAGACAGACTCGCAAATTTTTAGTGAGTAGGTTATAGATACCATACTTTAAATAAAACTAGTTTTAACGGATTAATGCACGAACTTTATTTATTTATTGACTTTATTAGCTAAATTAACTAATAAATTCATACATAGACAATAAAATTTTAAAAATCTTTCAATGAAATATCCGATCGCTCAATATAAGTCTTTCGAAGGTAACTCGACAAAGTAAATAAAAAATCATTATTCTGACGATGCAGACCTGAAAAGGCTGCGAAACGGCAATCTATATATATAAAACTCAAAGGTGACTGACCGACATAGTGATCTATCAACGCACAGCCCAAGCCACTGGACGGATCGGGCTGTGGCACGCAGGTAGATGTTATGATGTAGGCATCTGCTAAGAAAGGATTTTGATCCTATCTACCCCCAAGGGGATAAAATACGGAATGAAAGTTTGTATGAAACTTTGTCAATTTTAAACCGATCGGGCTGAGACTTTGTATGCAGGTATAAGAAGAATAATAGACGAATGTCATTGTGTATAATACAAGCCTGAGAACAAAAACTGTAGTCTACACTTCAGCTTTACACCGAAGCGAAGCGAGGGCGGGCCGCTAGTAAATGAATAAAGTTCGTGTATTAATCTGTTAAAACTAGTTTTATTTAATGAGTGATGTGCAGTGGCGGATTTACCAGTAGGCTCAGTAGGCTGGAGCCTAGGGCGGCAGATTTAAGGGGGCGGCAAATTTGGCCCAAAATATACACTAAATCAAAATAATATTATAATCAAAATTATAATATTTTAGTAATGCACAGTATACTCAACACTCTTACATCCGTAATCCGTATATAAAAGATTACTAAACGCACTGTAAAATATAGGTATGTACTTATGCGATCATGAATTTTTAAAATATTCCATTAGCGTTTCAACATTAATTACAATTTAAATTTAGTAATTTTTTAAACTAACGGGGAAAAGCCGACGTAATGTGGACGATAGAACACAAATCATAAAGTTGCAATTTCAGAATAAATATAATTGTGAACTAGAGCGTATTGAATTTCAAAGGTCAGTAAGGGAGGCAAAAATTTAATAGCCTATTAGCGGCAAATTTGTAAATCCGCCACTGGTGATGTGCGTGAAAACCGACCATGCTTTGTTTATTTATCATTCGTTATTGGGAATTTTATATTCAATAAACGTTTATAATGCTACAAGTACCAAATCTATCTATATATTCCTCCGCATCTTCATTTTGTAGAACACGCGATGATAAATTCTTGACATAACAATTCAACTTGGTAATTGAAGGCGTCGTTGATGTGCACTTAACACCTCGAAAGGGCGGCGTATGGTGATAATAACAGTTTATTGCGTGTAAACTACACTATTATGATGTTATTTGTGATGCCTTTGTATTTGTTTGAGTATAAGCTTGGTTCTATTTAATAAAAAAACGACTGGTTGCACTCCGAGAGTGCCGGCAGAAGCTAAAACTTGAATATTAACGTTGTGCATTTGTGAATTGCTTTAATTATCAGTATAAAAGTACTATCATGTATGTGGTAAAATACAATATTTATTTATTGCGCTATCGTACACAAACATGACAATTTATATTACATTAAAAAAGTTTATTGCTCAGAAAAATCAACTTACATGAATCACGTTTAAGCGCACCTAGCTACATCTATTGTAAAGAAATCAACTTACATGAATCATATTTAAGCGCACCTAGCGACCTCTATTGTAAAATAATGGTACGAAAGCGAAAGAATTAAGTAATTCAATTAATTTAAAGGTTATTTAAAAATCGACGCTCTCATTTTTTTTGGAGGACAAAATTATGTCATTTGGAAAAAATGAAATTTAATTTACATCTCTGAGTATGGCCTTTAATACTAATAGTACTCTAGTCTACTCTTTGGAGGGAGAGCATGAAATTTGGTCAGTGAAGTTTCACGATATAACATCACGTAGCTCAATAAATTCTGACGAAAGTATGAAGCAACCTTTACGGTAGGACATAGCGGAATTTCCGTTTCCGCAAAGTGGAGCCAGCGGCTTTGGCGAAGTAATCACAAACTTGGAGACAGTCACATTAAAAATATTACATAGTAGTGGCCCGCCCTCGCTTCGCTTTAGTATTTTATCCCCTTGGGGGTAGAATTGATCAAAATCCTTTCATAGCGGATGCCTATGCGGATGCGGTCCAGTGGTTTGGGCTGTGCGATGATAGATCACTATGTCAGTCAGTCAGTCAGTCACCTTTGAGTTTTATCTTTATATATATAATTCTTCTGTGAGTGTGTATGTCACTGAACTTCTCTTAAACGACTGGACCGATTTTGATGAAATTTTGTGTGTGTGTTCAAGGGGATCTGAGAATGGTTTAGATTCACAATTTTGTCCGCTGGACAACCCCTATTTTTTTAGGGCGGTACGAAGTTCGCTGGGTCAGCTAGTATATATATAGATTACCATTTGGCGAGTAAGGATACTGGCTTCCACAAGGTAGGGGATTTGATCCAGACCTGAGCAGCACTTCTCTCTACTGCATCAGCCGTCTTCACAACTGGACTCCATTAAGTATAACGTCACGTGGCTCAATAAATTCTGACTAAAGTATGAAGTAACCTTTACGGTAGGCATAGCGGTATTTCCGTTTCCGCAAAGTGGAGTGGCTTTGGCGAAGTAATCGCAAACTTGAAGAGAGCCACAAAAAAAATATTACATATTACCATTTGGCGAGTAAGGATACTGGGCAAGGTAGGGTTTTTTTGTATGTTATAGGGGGCATACGAGCAGATGGCTCACCTGATGGTAAGTGATCACCGTCGGCCATGGACACTTGCAACACCAGGAGTATCACAAATGCGATGCCGGCCTTAAAGGAAGGAGTACGCTCTTTTTTTGACGGTTTTTGGGTCGTATTGGTCCGGAAACACTGCTGGCGACAATATATTTGATCCAGACCTGAGCAGCACATCTTTCCAACTGGACTCAATACGGTCCATACAAAACGTTAGATGGGGTCCCATAATATGCTGCCTTTTTTATAGGGGAAAAAATATTCCAGTCTGAATCCTCCTGAATATATAGATATTACTAAGTTTTAGCTCCTTAAGTTCTAGCGAATGTGGGGCAAGGTGAAGATGGATGAGACGTATATCCGAATATATTAATCGAGAAGCAATTTTCGCAATGGACTTCAAATGGTAAAGAAACTATGTTATAAAGGCTATAAGACTAATATTATAAAGGCGAAAGTTAATAAGTGTGTGATTGTGTATGTATGTTACTACTTCACGTCTGAACGGCTGGAGTGATTTTAATAAAATTTGGTATGGAGTTAGATGACATCCTGGATTAAAACACATAGGCTACGTTTTAATGTGGGAAAATATCCATAATAAACCGCGGGTAACACCGCAGAACACAGCTAGTCTAGCTAGGTCTTATAAAACACAAAACGAACCCGATATCACAGATCCCTCATCCACAGATATATAAATAAAGAAATAAATATTTCCAACACACACACCAATTAGCCCCAAAGTAAGCACTGTAAAGCTTGTGTTATGGGATACTAGGGTAACGGATAGAATACATATACTGTACATATATATGATTCACAGATCTAAATCTAATCTTTCCTTTGTTTCCAGGCGTGATCGGGTTGATATACCTGGTGATGTACATCTGTATTATCATCTTTTTCTCTATATGTATGTGCGGGCTGATGGCCACCATGGATGAGAGGGTGCCGTATTTCACTCTCGCCGACTCCATCATTGGTAAGTAAATGGACTTGCCCAAATTTTATTTTACTATAATTTAAAAAAGTCATCACCTTGGCCAGTTATCGGATATAATAAAACAATATATGTATATATATATCAATATATAGATACTTGTTTATAGTTTTTGTTGTTTTTTGTTGTTATTATTAATTATTGACATTTATAGTTTCAGTTATTGATCAGAGTATTTTGTTTTGATCAAGTAATTTTTTTATGAAAGTGCAAAAATTTACAATTTTCTCTTAATTACTTTCAACGCAATGTAATATTGTTAAGGAATAAATAAATAAGAATAATAATAGCGAAGCGAAAGAACCTGTTTTGATTCCAGCTTGATATATGAAAAAAGTTCTTACACAAGGTTAGAAAATACGGTTTCATGACCGGCAATGTGATTGCTATCTTCTGAGGATTCTATCTTTACACAACACACAAAGACTCCACAGTTAGTTTATGTATGGTCCACCGTTGGTACGAATTACGTTAAATATTTTCATCGTGTCCGAGTATGCTCCACCCCCCACGACAACGGCTAACTAGAGCCGAGATCCGAATCTCAGAGACGCCCTCTAGTTGAGCCGACCCCCTCAGGTTCGAGTGGTCTAGAGGCTCCAGACGGAGAGGAGACCCCCCTGGGGAGATGCCATCCACCTGGAATACCGCTAGAGGCACTCGCCAATTCTCTTCTTGAGGTCCCCTTAGGATCTCGCCGTCCCCAAACCCGGTGACGCTGTAAAGGTCATCTGCGACCAACACCATACACACTCAAAAATAAAGAGTATGCTCCAGCATAGTCATTAAATAGTATTCAGCTAGTTTCCACGTCGGTTTATTAATAAAATTGAGAGATGAAAGGAAATCTTGTAACAATGAAAATAGCATTATATTATTTTAAACTTTCATGGTCACTAACATTATAGTAATATAAGTTATTTACGGGTTTGTTACCATGTACGTTGTTTTTAGCGAGTTTCCGATATTTCGGCACTGTTGCAAGCGCCATGATCACGGAGTAACCCGTAGAGTAGTTAGGTACTCCGTAATCATAGCGCTTGCAACAGTGCCGAAATATCGGAAACTCGCTAAAAACAAGGTACATGGCAACAATCCCGTCAATAACTTATATTACTTTAATGAAAATAGCATCTTATATCTAATGCAGACGGCCGATGAGATGCTCTTATTCCAAAGTTGTTAGTTAGATCTTTAGAGTTAGTGCAATACATATAGATGATTTGTGAAGCTGCAATAAACAAAATATAAACTAAGATTTGATAAATAGCACGGAAGTTATGGCACTTGGGAATTTTTATAATGTGAGGGTGCGAGAAACTCGCTCTTTTCACATGTGTACAATGCATGTCAATAAAAATGCATCTTTAGAGCTTTGAAGTCTGCACCTCAGACTATTGAGGAATCAATGAAATGTGTACATTTAATGTAATAAAGTTTCCCACTCAAAAGTTCAGCACTTCGAGGAGTTCAATTTACCTCATCGACAAAATTTCTTGGTGTCCCCATAGATTACAATTTAGAATAGCAAACACACACAACACACGCATTTGTAAAAATCTTTCTCAATTCTCATTCAGTCTTATATGTTGGAAAAAAGGTGAGCCTTCCATCGTTACTGGTTTCAAACCATGTGTTTGTAGTTTCGAGGCTAAAAGGCTAATATGGCATTATATTCTGGGAAAATTCAACTGGATAGGAACGAGTGCTCAAGTGTCAAAAAAGATGTAATCGCGCTATGTATGGCTTAAAAAGGACTGATAGTTGCAAGAGAATTTATAATTCCTTACTTTGCCATCTTTTTATATATAAAATTCATGTGTCACAATGTTAGTTACCATACTTCTCCGAAACGGCTTAACCGATTTTTATGATATGTTATATGCATATTTATTAGGTCTGAGAATCGGCTACTATCTATTTTTGATACCCCTAAGTGATAAAGGATGTCTACCCGTAAATTTTATTTTTGGTCAATTTTTTTTTATGATTTGGCATTTAAAAATACATAAGTACCTACCACCTTTAATTTTCACAATTCAGCTAGATTAGAGTGTCCCAACCGCTGGGTAAAATCCTACCTTCTTCATTCAACTTTCTCGGGTAGTCTTTCGCTAGTTTTTGTCAAAAGCGTCAAATTTGTCTAACCATCAAGGTCTACTGAAAGCTGGATCCTATTATGTTAGGTCTGATTGATTATTCCTAATGAGTCAAGCGTAAGGACAATGTTACAAAAGCAGACTCATTCATCTTAACTTATGACTCGCTGTAAAGTTGTACACTCGCGGAAAGACCCGCTCTGTCACCCATAATACCATAATCGCTTGCGGTAGCGGCGTAGTAAAAATTCATTCATAGACATGTAATTATCGCTGTCTTACTTTTTCGTATAGCGCTGTCGCGATCACGATGCGGATGACAAATTGCAACTAAACCAAATGCAATTCAATTCATTATTCAATCAATGAAATGCTCTCTGTCTTACTTTTGTGCGGCGGCCCGGATTGGCGCGTCCGACGCGAAGGCGGGGCGCAGTAAAAACTACTGTTGAAAACCGTTCAAAGCATTTTGTTCGCCAAGTGACAGAGCGCAAAATTCCGCGATAGTACCTATTCTTATGCTTCGTCTTTCCCAGGTGATAATCCCGGTATGGGTCACAGGCCGCTGGTGTTCGAGCAGGGGGCACTGATCTGGTACCACCCCTCCAACAGTACACAAGTCAAGAAGTACGTCGACAATATCAACCAGTTTCTCGCACGTGAGTAGTATCTACTATTAAATAAGTTGTTGGCAGAATCTATATATATAAAACTCAAAGGTGACTGACTGACATAGTGATCTATCAACGCACAGCCCAAACCACTGGACGGATCGGGCTGAAATTTGACATGCAGGTAGATGTTATGACGTAGGCATCCGCTAAGAAAGGATTTTGATCAATTCTACCCCCAAGGGGATAAAATAGGGAATGAAAGTTTGTATGAAACTTTGTCAATTCTAAACCGATCGGGCTGAGACTTTGCATGCAGGTATAAGAAGAATCATAGATGAATGTCATTGCGTATAATACAAGCCTGAGAACAAAAACTGTAGTCTACACTTCAGCTCTACACCGAAGCGAAGCGAGGGCGGGCCGCTACTTATATCTAAAACAGAATTTTACTTCGTCAGTGTTATAACATCACAACCTACATAAAAGTACTTTCTAAACGTACCTTTAAAATTGTTCAAGTCAAGAACCTAGATTCTTCACAATCATGATAAAATTGTGTAAGTAAAACGCTGGCTGGCTGGAGGAGCTCGATGGCGCAAGTGGTTACAGCGTTCGGCTGCGATCGTTGAACTTAAGCAACTTTCGCAGTGGTCGGTCATTGGATGGGTGACCAAAAAAAATTACTAATTCGAGCTCCTCCGTGCTTCGGAAGGCACGTTAAGGCGTTTGTGCCGGCTGCAGCTGCAGTCGTTAGCACCCACCAATCCGCACTGGGCCCGCGTGGTGGGTCATGGCCCGATCTCCCTATTCCATCCATAGGGAAGGCCTGTGCCCCAGCAGTGGGGACATTAATAGGCTGATGATGAAAACGCTGGCTGGCAAAATTATCCTAAAAATATTACTCTGTTCTCGCATGCAACTTTGGAGCAGTCAATCTAAAGGAATTAGCTATAAAAGCTTGTACTATTGCACTAACAATTAATTTATAATGGTATAACGTAAAAACATAAAACTTCACTTGGAAACCAAAACATTGTCTCTTAAATCAACATTTGCATGTTTATATAAAAGTTTTTCCGGCACTTTACAAGACTTTCAGAGAAGTCACATCTTTTATTCACTTACTAAGGACTTACTTAGGATGGATATACTCCTGTCAAATGTAAAATAGCAATTATGAATAGTGAAGTGCTAGCATCATTCTCATACACAACTATGAAATCAGAAATCGGAAATCAATATATCTTTATTCAAATTGGATGTATAGTACTCACTTTTGAATCGTCCAAACATTTTTTTTCCCTACCACTCGTTATTGGACATATTTTTTAGCTACGGAGAAAAACAAGCGAAAAAAACTCCACAACATTAAAAGCATAATGTAACAACATTTACAAATCATTATGTTGTTACAACGTCAATACAATCATGATTTATTTAATATAGAAAACCTGTTGGAATGTTTGGAACAGTTCAAACCCAAGCATTTTTGTCTGTAATATAATCAGATACTTTGTAGGTAATAAGCTTTTTTACTAAGTACTTTTTTATACTATCTTTGAATTTATTGCTAACTTTGAATATATGGCTTTTAATAATGAAAATCTTTGGCAGAATTTTACAGAAAGCCTATAGATTTCTTGGTTTATTTCTTACAGCTTACGAGAACAAAAGCCTCCTGGTGAACGGTGGTGTGAACCAGAAGGAATGCGGCAACGTAAAGCCGCCGCGGGACGTTGTATGCTCTTTCGACCTCAGCCAGCTCGGGCCCTGCTCCCGGGAGAACGACTATGGCTTTACCAACGCCACTCCTTGCATCATCATCAAACTGAACAGGGTGAGTGGACTTATGGCCTTTAAACGATAAACTGAAACTTATCGACTAAAACTCGCGTTTATGATGCGATTCTACTAAGAATAGGATCGACTGGGCGCCATTTTGTGATTTCAGAGCTGTCAATTAAAACAAATAGGTAGAGTGAGCAATAAAAGTTTTTCTTCGATAAAACTTATTTACTAAGATTAAGTGAGAAAAAACATCAGATTTTATTAATAAAATTTATTTACTAAGATTGAGAAAAAAAACATCGATTTTTAATAACATTTATGACTGTGTGAGTAAAAATATTAATCGGAATCTAGCTCTTCAATTGCGCTCAGCTCTGCATAACTACCGGAGTGGTCATCGTCGTCATTTTTGTTTACAAATGTTTGTTTTTTTTTATTCTAGAATTAGCCGAGTGCTAGAAAAGAGTTCCAAGATTTTTTGCAAACCGTACTTTTCAAGCGTCATTTGACAGATGGAGGTCATTGGCTTTAGTATTCTTATTTGAATCGCATTATACCTATGAAGATTAGTGTAGTTCACAACACTTAATTTATAATATAAAAATAAATTGCTGAATGTGTTGCTAAGCGCAAATCTCGAGAACAGCTGAACCGATTTTGATAATTCTTTTTTTAGAATATTCCTTGAATTACAAGGTTGGTTCTTACGCAGAGAAAACATAAAAAAAAATTGCCTGAAAATGTCCAAAAACAACACTTTTCTATACTCCCATACAAACGATGCGTAATAATACTTAAAAATCAATTTGAACTTTAATACCATACCATAAATTCCAAATGTTAGTGGAGAGATTCTGGGAAGGCAAAACAATTGAGTGAAGCGATGTCAATAGAAGTTTGGAAAAGGCAAATACACCATTTTCAGTTTTTTTATAATTACTTATCTGAAGAGTCATTTAAATCTACACTACAGCTCTACACCGAAGCGAAGCTAGGGCGGGCCATTAGTAACCAATAAAATTATTATGCCATCCTTTTTTATACAGTCAGCGTCGTTAAATAGGCTGTACTTATAAGTTTATCAATGCTTCGCAAATTACGCTTCTTGGATTGGCTAAGAAAATGGTAGGTAGATTTAATTTTCCATGATATCTTATCTTTATGTTTCATGATCATAAGATAAGTTATTGTCCGTATTGTTAAAGTTATCTGATATGTTGTCATAACGAAATTCTATTGAATCCAATCAAATTGAATTGAATCAAAGTGGGTTCAAATATCTATTGCTTGTTTAGTCATCCTTAATTGTATGTTATATTCGTATGTGTTTCAGTTGTATGCATGGCATCCACATTTCTACGACGATCCTGGAGACCTGCCGTCAAATATGCCACCTGACATCAAAGAATATATCAATTCAACCACAACGCTACAAGAAGTAATTTGATAACACTACAAACTTATATCTTTTTAACTTTCCTATAATTTAATAGTCTTAAGTTTCCTCTAAATCAGAGTTCCCCAAACTTTTTTGTGTAGTAGACCCCTTGCCATGTTTTTCCGTGTTGGGTAGACCCCCTACTTATCTGATATTGATTTTTTTTCGCTGACGTAGACCTCTTGCAGTTTGTCATAGACCCCTAGGGGTCGATATAGACCACTTTGGGAATCACTGCTCTAAATCTATCTTTTGTAATCTGCTGGAAATCTCTTTACGTAAGACAATCAAAGGGAGAAGGGGATCAGCCTATTCTTATTTTTCTTATAATAAGGCGTTGAGCAGACGACGGGGCGGGGCGGGCATTTTGTCCGCGAAGCAATAAAGACCGCGTCTGCCCGTCGATGTCTGCGGCTGTCCGCGCCGCGTACACAAAGCACACGACGGGCAGAGGCGGTCAGTACGGGACGTTCGTTCTAGTGAATAGAAAAAGCGCGTGGCGCGGACTGAGCTGACCGCCCCGCGCCGCCGTCTGCGTTACTGCATATAAACTGGTTTGTTTGATCCACGGCGGGTAGCCGCGGACATGCCGCGTCGCCACTGCCCGCCGGGCACCTGCGGCGCGGTCTTTTTGCCCTCCGTGTGCGTTTGAAGTATAGGATTCACTTTGTGCTATTATTCGCGGCGAAATTGACCGGCCCGCCCCGCCCCGTCGTCTGCAAAGTGCCTAAGGAGGAGGAGGAGGTCAAAAACTAGCGAAAATAGTCTTACGTAATAAATGAATGGCCCCTTAAAAGCAGCGCTAAATTGTGCGGTAATTAAGAGAACTACTGTAAATATTCGGAAAAGTCCATTAAAGAATTTAATGCCTTGAAAATTTTAATTTAAAATGTATGCATTCCTATTGCGAAAAAATATCGCTGAGGTTCCTATCAAAGAGGTTTTGCTAGAATAGGGTATTTGACAAGTTTTAGAAAACGATCTCACGTTATTGACTAAGGTTTATGGGAGTCCGTAAAAAGTGGATATTCATCATTCTGTTGTGTATATCAGTAAAAATAACCAAATCAAAAACTCCATTTTCAAGTTGCCTCGAAAACGTTTCTCTGGACAATATGGCGTCTTACTTATTCTTTAGTTTTTAGTAAAATTATGAATATATTTTTTGTATAAAATAGTAAAAACCCCTGCCAATATTCATTCTAAACACAGACGCTAATAATTGGCACTTTATTTTTAACACTGTCAAATACCCTAATAAGATCCGAATCTTTAACAAATAAGCTACGCAGAACAAAAGCTAATGGTTCTTATTTTTTCTCCAGCGTCAGAAAGTGTGGTTGTCGTGCATGGGCGAGCGGCCCGCCGACGTGGAGGCGCTGGGTCCTCTGAAATACTGGCCGTACCCTGGCCTGTCGGAGGTGTACTACCCGTACGACAACACCGCGGGGTATCTCAGCCCGCTTGTAGCTGTGCAGCTGTTGAAGCCCAAGTGTAAGTGCTAGTACCACATAAAGATCTCCTTGGATCCATTGCAATATCCCTATCCTTTTTTTTTATTGTTGGGAAAATGCGTTACGCATACCCCGCCCCGGGTGAGTGGCGGGGTTATGTGGGACTCCTCCTCTCCCAAATGGGGGGCCCTACCCACTAAAAACCCAACAGTGCTCCCTCGTCTGCCGAAACGGGTTTTGTGGGATCCGGATGACGCTCCACGTTACCCCGGCAGTAATTCCTCCTCCTCCTGGTGGTCAGGGGGATGCCCGGGAGCACCTAGGCATCCCCCCTCGACGGGTGAGACTGTGCAATGCGAGCGACGGACCACCCTGTCCGCCGCCCGCAGTCCCACTAGGGTGGAAAGAGGCGGTCGTACCGCCGCCGCCTTCCCCCGGTCGTCGGCGACGGAGAGGGCCGGCCCGGGCGTCCTCCTCGCGGAATATCTCTATCCTGGATTCTGGTACACTTTTTCCGATAAATCCATCATTTTGCACTGAGTGTTTTTTTCATAACCCATTTGTTTCTTTTTATGAGTGTTTTGCTGATGCAGTAATTCATAAATTAACCTGTCAAAAGACAACTATCAATACTTACTTAAGTTGACAGCTACTGCTACCTAAAAGTACAATTAATAAGAAAAAGGTTCCTTTTATAAATTTGACTTTTGTATGTAAAATTATTTTCTATTCTAAAGCAGACGATAATAGCTTAAGTTTATTATTTGATTCCAGGGCATCAAATCATCAATATACGTTGCCGTGCTTGGGCCCGTAACGTGCGCTACACAGACAGTCTGAAAGATCGTCTCGGGTCCACTCACTTAGAGATAATGATCGACTAGATAGATAGATAAATTACTGTATACAAGAAAAAAAGGTGGCCCCAAAACTGAACCCTGAAGCACCTCTTTTTTGTAAAAATCAGCAAATAAAGTGTATGTCTTAGTAATTTATATAATCGTCCAAATAATGTTTAATTTATCAGCTATATCTTCAGATGGAATATATTAAGTTGGATAATGAAATTTGAAGATCTGAAACGTACTTTCTTTTTTACTACGAATCTGCAAGCTTATCATATGTTATAGAAATGTCAATATGTTATTTTAAGATAAATCATACAAATATATGTAAGAAGGTAGCCAACAATTTACATTTGTGGAACTTCCTTAATTGATATCCAATTAAATTCCGAATAATATCAGTACCATGAATAAGATCTTGCTGTGAAGCCGTAGAGTCTAGGCAAAAGATAATTTATTTTTAGACTGCATAGTTATTAATGTACTAGTATACTTTTTGTAATTAGGTAATGTTATTTGTATGGCTGAGTAAATGGAAATGAACATGAATGTTGAAAGAACTAATTAGTTTTTCAATTGTTTATGATTTCACAAAACGGCGAAAACAGTCACTAACAACAAACACGTTCTAAATTGCATCAAGAATGTTGCAAATATCAGTAAGTTACAAAACAACAAAGAAACCAACCAAAATTAATTATTTATTAAAATAAATTACAAATTAATCTCACTCTTCAAACATTTGAATCACACACCAATTTATTTAAGATTGAATCTTAATTCACAGATAACAGACATACTCAAAATCTTGGCTAATAAAGTATATTTTTGTAACAACCACAAGATATTAATGGAATGTATTATTCTTTCATGAGTTAATTTTATATTACAAGGCTAACGTTGAACATAATTATTTGATTATACAACAAAAATCTGTGAAACAGACAAGATATTAAAAAAATCAATAATAATTTATTAATAAATAGAACATTCTATAATTTTATTTTATTTGGAGGGAACCGATAATCACTTTCTTATCATCGATAGGTTAAATGATAATACTTACAGTGGTGAAGCAAACCCTTTGACATGATATTATTTCAATTATTTTACTAGTTTCTTTACAAATCTAAAGAGAAAAAGGAAAGGTGATAATTATTTATAGACCTTTCGGGTCTTCGTTAAAGAGTGGTTGAACTAGAATCGACTCACGTTAATATGCAATTTGTTTTTTTTTCTTTGGTCATTTAATTCCTAGGCTAGTTTATTGTGAGCTATTCGATCATGATCTCAATATGCACGGATCCCATGCCCTCGTGACGGTCGTACTTGATGTTGTGCGCCCACGCACGGCACTCCATGTTGATCAACAGTCCCGCTGGAAAAAGAATTTAAATTGATGCCATAAAAAACTCGCCTTTAAAAATTATAAATCAAAGATTAAAATAGTTGTTGAAATAAATAATTGTAATGGTGTCGATTCTGGCGTAATAAAACTTAAAACTAAATTTAACATCAGTCTCTCCTTTTCATTCTGTATAGAAAATGACAAGGATACACTGTTGTCAAATTTAAGTTTAGATTTAGAGAATCGTGCCAGAATCGACACCATTGGCTGTTTATTTAGGCGAAGCTAAGTGTGAGTGGAGTCGTTCCAGAAAAAAATGCCGCTCCAGCCATCGTCCCCTTGATGGCCAAATCTAATCTCATAGGTTAGTACTTAGAAGTAAATTCCTAGATTTTGTAACATGAACCAGGACCTACTCGTATCACAAGGAACAAGTCGTTAAATAGGAGAGAGCATTTTATCTGTAATATAAAAAGTTAATTTATAACTATTTTATTTGATTTGATTTGGAAATTTAGAGAACTTTAAATAATGATTGAGGAGCTCCATGGCGCAAGTGGTTAGCGCGTTCGGCTGCGATCGTTGAACTTAAGCAACTTTCGCAGTGGTCAGTCATTGGATGGGTGACCAACAATTACTATCTCGAGCTCATCCGTGCTTCGGAAGGCACGTTAAGCCGTTAATCAGGGCTGCATCTGCTGTCGTTAGCACCCACCAATCCGCACTGGGCCCGCGTGGTGGGTCATGGCCCAATCTCCCTATGCCATCCATAGGAAAGGCCTGTGCCCCAGCAGTGGGGACATTAATAGGCTGATGATGATGATGAAAATGATCAAGATTCTCATTGAGCATAATCTAGTAAAAGTAGTTTGACCAAAAGTGATATCTGATAAGGGACTTACTTTTGGGTCTTTGTAGATTGACGGCGACGAGCGGGCTCAGGTAGCCCTCCTGGTTGGTGTAGGGGAAGTAGTAGCCGGGGAATCCCCGGTACGGCATGTATTGGATGGGACCGATATTCTCCCTGTCAGCCGGGTTCTCGCCCTGGCACGACACCCATACCATGTTTAGCTGGAAGTATAGTTTATTCCTTTATTAGTCGGTATTTGGTTTTAGCGAAGGATATTTCTTAAATTATTGGTATTTTTAGCATTAGCTGTATTTATAATTTTTATTATTTTAAAGCATGTAACTGCTTGATGTTTAAATCTAAAGAAATTATAACTAGGAAAAAATCCACGCGGACCAGGCAGCAGACGGGACTCGAACCCGCACCCTTCGCAATCCGGGCGAATGCACTGACTAATTATGCTACGGTAGCAAATAATAAAAATTATAACTATAATTGCTATTTCTTTTTTCAAATGTTTAATACTTGTAAAAGTATTCATTTGATATTGTGGGTTACCCATAATGCGAAGAAATGGCGCCGCCTTGCAGCTTACGAATGGCTAGAAGAATTTCGAGGCGGTCTGTGAGGGCCGCGGTAGCATAATTGGTCAGTGTATTCGCCCGGATTGCGAAGGGTGCGGGTTCGAGTCCCGTCTGCTGCCTGGTCCGCGTGGAATTTTTTCTACTTATATTTCATTAGCGGTATTATCAAACGAGTCTTTATAAATAATACAACGACATTCCCAATTTTTTTTCTTGCTGTATCAAGAAGGTAAATATCCCAATGTTTGTGAATTAGATAGTTTGAAGGACGACGAATAATGGTTAGAAAGTTCTATCGTCTGTACCGCGGCGAGTGTTCTGAGGAGTTATTCTCTCTCATCCCACCTTCTCCTTTCCTTCAGAGGACGACGCGCGCTGGCCTACGTTGTCACCGTCTAACTGTGGCCACCATTCCAACGCGTACAAAGAAATTTGGTGACTTATTTCTTTGTCGCAGTATCCGTAAATGGAATGCTCTGCCCTCTCACGTGTTCCCTCCCTCTTACAACCTTTCCTTTAAAATAGGCGTGAAGAAGCAACATGCAGGCCGGCAGGGTGAGGATGGCAGGTAGAACTGCTGTATCAGCTATCTTCACGTCTGGACTTCACCTTCACTTAACATCAGGTTGAGTGGAGTCATTTGTCGGACCTTTCTATAAAAAAAATTACACTTATTAAGCATAAAACTCACATAATTCTTATCGTACGCTGTCATATTCCTGATGTGCTCCTTCAAGTCGTCGGGCATGTCAGTGGGCAGGCTGTCGGAGCTGTTGTAGAAGTGCGGCCTCCAGCCGAAGATCTTGTTGAGTTTGAGGAAGATGCAGGGCGTGGACTTGTGGTATCCAAAGTGCTTGTCCTCTACACAGGGACTCCAGGCGCTGATGTCCACGTCACACACCTTACCGGCCGGAGGAGGCAGTTTGAAATCACAGTTGTGGATGTTCTGGCCTGCTCCAGCTTTCTTACCGTCTCGTTTGTACGCTGCAGCAAAGAGTAAAATTGATTATAAATATAGTTATATAATTTTTATAATCTATACTATAATATTGTGGCGGCGACATCTATATGCCCCACATATAGACAACGGATGGAGGAAATCATTACTCACCATCCTCAAGAGATGGCGATACCTGCACTGCGATCAATAATAGTATGGAAGCCTACATCGCGCAAATGAAATTCGGAAGCTAACTCTTCATATATACGATGCCCGACCAACATCAGTTGGGCCGCGGCCCCCGAGCTAACATCACCCAGCTCGGAGGAAGATCTTCCCCTTTGGCCTTCCTACACTGTTAGCTCGGGGTAGTAGTGTAGTTTGTAGTAGTATCATGGTTTAATCACAATAACCGATTTTGTGTTCAAAATAATTATTAAATCGTCTGAAGAAAATCAAACTACGTTAAATATGTATCGTATTATAAAAAACACAAACAACCCTTAATTTTCACCCCTTTACCACCCATATTTTTATGGTGATACGAAGTTCGCTGGGTCAGCTAGTATAATTATAATGATGTACTACTTAAATTAAGATTTCTCCTTTATATGGAGGTGGAAGTAAATAGCGCATAAAATTCCCGACAAACAGTAAAAAATCAGTTTTGAAAACAACAATTTCACCAAAACTAAGATTATTTTTGATTTTGGTATTTTCGGTTCTTTGCCAATGTAGGTAACACTTGAACCACGTGCTTGAACTAGGAAAAAAGCTATCAAATTAAGAAATAAATACTTTACGTTTCTAAGTGTTTTTTTTTAATCTGGAGTTAATATCATATTAAATAAAACACGTTTCAACGGGTAAGATGTACGTATTTTTTTATTTGTTTATTGACGTTTAAAGGAACGCGTCGTCGGAACAAACTTAAGAATCAAATAATATCCTATTGTTATTGTGTCTTGTTTCTCTTCATCATCAGCCTATTAATGTCCCTACTGCTGGGGCACAGGCCTTCCCTGTGGATGGAATAGGGAGATTGGGCCAGAACCCACCACGCGGGCCCAGTGCGGATTGGTGGGTGCTAACGACTGCAGATGCAGCCGGGACCAACGGCTTAACGTGCCTTCCGAAGCACAAAGGAGCTCGAGATAGTAATTTTTGGTCACCCATCCAATGACCGACCACCGCGTATGTTGCTTAAGTTCAACGATCACAGCCGAACGTGCTAACCACTTGCGCCATCGAGCTCCTCTCATCTTGTTTCTCTTACTGTGAGTTTAAGCCAAAAGCGAAAAAATAACTTGGTTTAATTATTGGCAGCGGCGACCTTCCTGACTTCGGCTCCAAAAACCTAGGTTTAACTTTATTTATAACTTCCTACAATTGCGTATTTCAAGGAAGTTATAACCCTAACGCTATAGGTAACTTAGGTATATAACTTCCAGGGCTTGTAACCGGTTTCGAAAATACCGGTAAATCAAGATTAATACCGGTTTTTAGTAAAGGTTTCGTTCGGAGCGCGTTCGAAATGAAAGCGGTACCTAAAACCTTAATAAACCGGTTTAATCCAGAGCGACACGTGCACGCGTCGGCATCGCTTGAAGTTTGTTTTGTTTGAAGTAATCAAGTCACAACTTGTTAATGCTCAAAGGTTGTTGCATTTATTGACTCGTTTGCTAGCATCTAGTGAGTCAAGTTATTCATTTTGTAGTTGTGTACTGACACACTACCTCACTCACTCGCTCTGTAGTTGGAAAAAAAACTGACATAAAATCATTATGAATTTGCCGTCAGTATGAGCGAAATGAAACCGTTTAAAAACCGCTTAATTGATTCAAAACCTATTTAATGTTGCTTTTTGTGGAAAACCGGTTTTTTTAAGATTAAGGTAGAGCCAAACCTAAATAAAACGCTCCTATTGTACTTGATACTGATTTAGGTTTGAAAATTAACCGGTAAACAAGCCCTTATAACTTCTTTGGCATATTTTATGTCTAAAGTCTAATCGGCGTCATTACAATGAGGGTGTTTAGCAAAACTTATGTCACCAGTTGGCGCCACTGTGGCATGATCTCTTTTGTATAACTTTTAGGCGAGAATTATCCAAAGACTAGGATAACATAATGTGACTTCACGGATGAGTAGGCCTCTAGAGGAGGTCGATGGCGCGGGTGGTTAGCGTGTTCGGCTGCGATCGTTGAAGTTAAGCAACTTTCGCAGTGGTTGGTCACTGGATGGGTGACCAAAAATCTTCTATCCCGAGTTCCTCCGTGCTTCGGAAGGCACGTTAAGCCGGTGATCCCGGCTGCATCTGCAGTCGTGAGAACCCGTCAATCCGCACTGGGCCCGCGTGGTGGGTCATGACCCAATATCCCTATTTCATCCATAGGAAAGGCCTGTGCCCCAGCAGTGGGGGCATTAATAGGCTGATAATGTACACCTTTCAGTTCAGTGCTGCCACCTGGCGCACGTTATTCCAGAAAACCGTAATAAAATAAATAAATATTTCCAACACTCACACCAGCTAGCCTAGCCCCAAAGTATGCACTATAATGCTTGTATTAAGGGATACTAGGGTAACGGATAGAATACATATATAAGTTTATTCATATAGAAATACATATTAAACATCCATGACTGGAGTACAAATGCTCGTGTTCATCACACAAACATCTGCCCCCACCGGGATTCGAACCCAGGACCACTCGAGTCGGCGACGCCATGAAACCTGGCATACAAACCACTCGGATACGGAGGTCGTCGAAATAAAGGCTTACCGGTTAGAAAGTTGGAGGTTTCTTGCACCCAGAATTGTTGGCTGTTGGGGTCGTTGCCTTTATACCAGATGACGCTGCTGGCGACCTCTGGCGGCGTGGGCCGGAAGCCGAGCCCGGGGTTGGTGCCGATGATGCTCTCGTCCAGCTGCCACATGGGCTCCCGTGAGTCCAGCCGCTGCAGAAACGTCCACATGCAGAAGGCCACCAGGAGCGCCAGAGCCACGTAGAAGATGAAGTAGAAGAGCGCGATCTTAGCTGAAGGCAGACGAGAATTTTGATTGAATGAGTCGGTAGTCATTTGGAACCGGGACCACTGGTCCTGATGGGGACATGGAATTAATAAATTATTTTGAGGCGGCATTCGGGACCGAAGCTAGTGGTCCCGAATGACACCTATGTTTAATGATTATTTTGAGTGGTAAGTTGGGACCAAAAATAAAGAAAGAAGTGTTTCATTTAAAAGTACAGTTAACGACAAAAGCTCGTTAATATATTAGTATTCGGGGTGATGACAAATGTAAATCAAACATCATGAAAATCACTTATAAGTAATAAATGTATAACTAACCGAACTAAGTTCTTTATTTAAATAAACTTATTCAAAGTTTTTACGTTATCGGTAGGAAATGCACACACTAAAATATTGTGCACATGCGTAGTGCTATCTCTCTTACACATCCCTAGTGTTTTTATTCAAAAGTATATTGATATAAATAATTGTATTAAATTGTGAAACTGTAAAAACGAGAACCATACCTTTTTATATAAAGAAGCTTAGCCTTTTACATATACTTTAAACAAAAAAGGGCCCAGTTACTATTTAGCAAATCAATCCAGATTTGTTCAGTGATGATTATGACCTCTCATCAGTGTCATCAATATTATGGCGATGGTAATGTCAAGTGGGTCAAACTATGAATACATACTCAAGAGGACTAATAAAAATGGATCAAATTTATGGAGGTGCTGAAAGAAGGGCAATGCTTCAATTAAAATAAAGCATGGAACAATTGTTAATTCAACCAATCACTGTCACACCCTCCACCACCACACCCTCCAAGAAACGCATCAGAGCAGATATTGTATGTGCTTTTACCTGATAAAACCCGTGAAACATACACAGCGACATGCGGAGATCCTTGGATGTTTTTTTCCATTTTACTAGATGTTTATGGAGAAAAGCAAAACAGTTGGGCAAAATACACGTAAAGTTATGTTCAGTACTGTTCCACCTCCTGTTACATTTGTTCAGTGAAGAGTGGTTTTACAAAATGGAAGAATGTCCGAAGGGCAAAGGCAGCTTTTGATGGTTATTTTTTTAGCACCTGGTTAGAAAATGACATTTATTTTCCAATATGGTGCACCTATAATGAAGACCATAAAACAAACAATATTGTAGTATGGCACAACCACGTAAAAAGATATATGAAATCAAAACCTAATATAGTTAAATTTTTGGAGGGCATTAGGAAGGACAGTAGCTTTTACTGCAATATACTCAAAAAGACGAATAATATTTCCAGAAGATCTGCAGAGAGTGTAGCAACCAAAGAAAAGATCAACCTGACATTGCAGGAATTAATAAATGGCCAAATAACTGTCGGTCATTGTTTAGAGAAGTTGGGATTTTAAATACAGTGATGTTTATCAATTCCTCATGAGACATACTGAATAATTACTTATTAAAGCAACAATATTTATAAAAAAAATGGTATCAATATAAATGTTGTATTTTTTTTAATTATATAATGATTCTGAATACTTTAGCAAAATAATTAAAGGTGGGGGTTGAATATTATGTTGATTATTATTTTTGTTCATTTTTATGTGAAATGAAAGATTTAATAATAGAAAAACGCGGTTGTGATATTGATTTAAAAAAATACCATCGAGTAACGCTGATGTTTTAATTGAAAAGTTTGTAAGTAATTTTTATTTGTAACTAAAACGTAATAGGGTGACATTGTTTTAATTTGTTGGAATGAGAGTTACTTTTTTATTTAAACGTTGTTAATCTTCATGTAAAATTTTAAATACAATTATGTAGATTTAGGAGCAATATACACAAATATTTAGCTAGTTAGGATTACTTTCAATTAAAGGCTGTAATTTTTTCAAATATAAGAAATATTTTTATATTATGAAAGCCGTTTTTTATTTGACTGTACTTTCTCGTCATGAAAAATTAAGATAAGAAAAGATCATATTTATGGTCCCAACTTACCACTCAAAATAATCATTAAACATAGGTGTCATTCGGGACCACTAGCTTCGGTCCCAAATGTCGCCTCAAAATAGTTTATTAATTCGATGTCCCCGTCAGGACCAGTGGTCCCGGTCCCAAATGACTACCGACTCGAATGATGTAAATGTTTTAGATAATAATAATAAATAAATAATAAAAAAAAATGTGTGTGTCAGCTCCGACGCACGACTGGAGTATAGTCTAACCAGACGCAAAAAGAGTTTATTTAACTTAAAAAAGATCGATACTGTATGAAAGGGTAAATTAACAAATTAATGAAAATAATATACATATATCAATATATATTTATTCATTTCATATACATTTATTATAACTAATCGACGAAATATTTTACATTAAACTTTTTACAATAGTCAATTTCAGATGTGCATAAATATATCATTAGGAATGTTGATAAATTATGTAATTATTATTATCAGACTATTATCATTTTTATATATATTAATTATATCAACATTGTCTGCATTATTAATTACAGTGACAAGTGGTTTATGGTAACTAAAATAAGACACATGGACTATAGATACGTGGTTCACGAATCTTGAAAATACCGCATCAATGGTTGTACCATACCTCGTTGTCCCCATTGCTCTATCAGAAACTATCTAAATTCAGTTCAGATTTTAATTTTTTTATTAATGTCAATCCGTCATCTTTGTTTGTCAAAGTTGCGCGACATAGGATGCGCACCAAAAACGTAACGAGGTTATTCATCGATAGATTTTATTCCTCACAATTTTCTCATACCGGGCCCCTTATATATGCAAATCGATTCTTAAGGAGTAAACTCCAAAAATTTCAACACTCACACCCGTTAGCCTAGCCCCAAAGTAGGCACTGTAAGGCTTGTGTTATGGGATACTAGGGGTAACTGATAGAATACATATACTGTACATATATAAGTATATGTATATAGAAATACATATTTGACATCCATGATTGGAGTACAAATGCTCGTATTTATCACACAAACAACTGCCGCTACCGGGATTCAAACCCGGGACCTCTCGACACCATGAAACCCGGCGCACAAACCACTCGGCCACGGTGGTCGTCAAATAGTTAAGCCCTTCAAATTCCGCGTCTTTTGAGCCCTCATACGTCCTCGTGGCCCTAAACCTCGGGGTATCACGGGCGAGTCGCGCTTTCGGCGAAAATGACCCCATTTATTGGAGTTTTATATTGGAGCGAACGAAAAAACATATTCAATGTTAAAATAAAATATTATGCAGTTGCTGAATGACATTGATAAGGTATTTTTATTGCTATAAATTATAGTCACGTTGGTGACTGCAACTGCAACGTGTTGATTAATCAACTACAAAGCTCTGATAGCGCTGAAGTTAGATAGTCAGTATTTGTTTCTTAGGTTTTCACGCACATCACTCATTAAATAAAATTAGTTTTTACGGGTTAATGCACGAAAGTCTTTCGAAGGTAGCTCGACAAATTAAATAAAAGTTTTATTCTGACGACGAAGCCTGTAAAGGCTACGAAACGTCAATAAATAAATAAAGTTTCGTGCATTAATCCGTAAAAACTAGTTTTATTTAGATATTCAGTCTCAAATTAATCCATGGTCACCATTTTTTTTAATATTCTCCAAAGCAAAGCGAGACGTAATATCAAATTATGGAATTTTCTAATACCTACTTATGAGCCCTTTTACAAAATTGCGCCGCTGCCGTACTGATCGGCGCGTAGGTAGATTTGCACTAGATAGATATATTGCATTGATGTTTCGAGTCTTATGAAATAATTATTAATGAACTAATTATAAAAAAAATATACATATTTCAGTAGTTCAATGATGGTAGATTAGTTTTATGAAAGTTTTTGATAGTAATTCTCATCATCGTGCCTTCCGAAGCACAGTGGAGCTCGAGATAGTAAATTTTTGGTCACCCATCCAATGACCGACCACTGCGAAAGTTGCTCAACTTCAACGATCGCAGCCGAACGCGCTAACCAGTTGCGCCATCGAGTTCCTCACAATATTGAACACATCTGACAATATTGAATCATAATTTAAAGAAAATAAGTTAGATATTCACGATCGTGTAAACTATTCCATTCTTGAAGAAAAAGTAATTTTATTTTATTATTTATTTATTTTATTTTTTATTTTTTTAACACTCACACCAATTAGCCTAGCCCCAAAGTAAGCCCTGTAAAGGCTTGTGTTATGGGATACTAGGGTAACGGATAGAATACATATTATATTGTACATATATAAGTATATTTACATAGAAATTAGAAATAGATATTAAACATCCATGACTGGAGTACAAATACTCGTATTCATCACACAAACATCTGCCCCCACCGGGATTCGAACCCAGGACCTCTCGAGTCGGCGACACCATGAAACCCGGCGTACAAACCACTCGGCCACGGAGGTCGTCAATATCATTGATCTACCTCTATAACGTGACTGACAATATTAACATTGATTGTCCTCAACTTCTTAGTGAAATTAGTTTTAATATACCACGACCAAATTTCAGACCAGCTAACTATAAATTATTTAATTTAAAAACTTATAAAACCAACCTGGGTACGCAGAGTGTTTTAATAGGATTTGTGAAGAACACAATAAAATCTGTACTGGGTCCTTGGTAGGCGTTGATTTGTTCGCTGCGTCACTGATTGTATTTAGGAGGGCTTTGCTATCGAGCATTGATTGTGGCACTTGTTTATAGTTTAGTTTTATGTATGTTTTTTTTTTATACCTAGTTTAGTTTTATATCATTAATTTTGACAGAAATAAGAGTTGTGTATGCCTGTAACTGTTTTTGCACAACTCAATGTATAACGTATGTTTTTTTTTAATTATGTTGGGTGTAAAAATGTTGGCATGCCTGATAAATAAATAAATAAATATTAAACCATCAGTTAAAGGAAATACGGTGGGAATTCATCATAGTAGTGGACATTCGACCTCGAGCGCAGTCCGGCCTGGGTCGGCGCTGGCCGGTCGGGTCCCGAGCGATCTGCGCCGACACCGGATGTCGTCTAATGATCTCATTGCTCCAATTCCGCGGCCGTCGCGACTTCCGCTCGGCTCCTTCGGATTTCAAGTGGCGTTTACGCTGCGTACACGGTTCTTACTAGTGTACTGTACATCCCTACTTAAGTACTTTTAATCATACGCAACTACGAGACGTAATGACAGTGTTTAAGATGAGACAACCGAATAACATAAGGTTCGAACGTCACTTAAAAGGGGAATTTCGGGTTTAGGGCTGAATTTTGTGGTGAAGTGTCGCTTGAAAGTGATGACAGAGGATAGTAAAATTTAACATTAAGAATATCTTCAAATGTCAAATCTATCTATAAAAAAATATATCTAAAAGAAGAAAATAGCCCTTGCCGAGTTTCTTGCCGGTTCTTCTCAGTTCTCCCGCCGTAGATTTACGAACCGATGTCGTAGCGTTTGACTTTCACAAGAGCTAGTAACAGCCTAGACTGAATAAATGAGTTTGAGTTTGAGTTTATCGAGAGTTATTTATCACTCTATCCTATCACCACTAGTACTTTATAAAATGAGAGAACTCATAAAATAAAACGGCTATTGTAAAGATCAAATTTTACAGTGACCGAAAATGAATATAAGTTCTTGAGGAAGGTACTTCCAAAGGAAGTAACAATAAATGTGTGTTTAATATACCTTTGCGCATTTCCTGCAGGAGTCGTGGTCATGCACTAGTATTGCATACTATGTAATCAGAGGATGAGTCCCTATATGAGCGTTCCTGATTGCTTAATTGATGAGTGTTCGCGGAAGCTTAACAAAGAATTAAGTAGAGGTAATAAAGTCTATTACTATTACCACAAAGAAGTTAGTTATGTGTCAGCCAAAAAATCGTCAAACTTATTGCAGTTAAGCCCTATGCCTCTTAATAATAAACCAGGAATAAGCTTAGTCTAGTTATGCTGTGTTTTGTTCATATAACTCAAATGTCATTTGTCATTCAATGAACAGAGATAAAACATGGATTAACTAATCTAAGCTTATTCTTCGATTATTAATAGGGGGTATACGTATAAACTCAATTTACGACAGAACTCACAGACTTCAAATTAATTTTCTAATTTGATTAAATCTGATGCCATCTATTTTCTGTAGATGGGGCATCACTAGTTTTTGTCATCGCATTGGATCTCAGTCAACATATCACTTCGAAAAGCATTGTTACATAAATGCATCTGTGATAGTCGTCTCGGTTAGTTGAATTGGTAATATCTATTAAATCCTCTTCCATTTCTAGGATGCGCTTGGTCTTTTTATCAAAATAATTTGTTACAGTTGGTTTAGCAGATGAGTGAAGACATTCTTCTTTTTGCTTTCGAGTATGAATGGAAAGGAAGTAAAGCATCCGTCTTCTGCTGGTCTTCAGCCTATTCGCTTATGCAAGGTTGGTATCACAAGCTTTAATAAGCTATGTTTGCCGCTAACCATCAGATGGAACATAGCTTGTTTTTATTTATTTATCTTTAACAAAATTTCTACTTTTACAGAAACTTATTACGTACACATTAGGTACAAACGGCATTTATCACATTTAATTTAAAAGATATTATAAAATTCATATAATTTACTAACATAAAAATTAATTAAGATAGGATAAGACATAACAAATAAGAAAAGCAAACACTAAATACCCATATAAAAGGGTTTTCAGGAACCAATTCCTGTGACAAATCACATGATAACTTTATGATGTGTGGGTGTGTGTGCATGTATGTATGTGTGTGTGTGACCATTCAGCTGTCCATTTCACCCCTTTTACATAAAACTATAAGAAAAAGCAAAATGTAATTCAGTATGTACATAATTCGAGAATCTGCACAACAATGGTGTCGATTCTGACTCGATTCTCTATTCTCTCTATATTTTTAAAAATCTTCAAACTTACACCAGTCTCTCTTTAACATGCTCTATCTTAGACCTCTATAGAGTATGACAAGGATACACTGTTGTCAAGTTAAAGTTTAGATTCGAAGTGATGTGATGTTTTAAATCCACTGCCGTCACAAAAGCAAGTGATGCCATCCAGAGAATATATACAGCATCAGCTAAAATCAAAATCGAAAATTTGGTGTCTGTGAGTTTTGTCGTAAATGGAGTTTATACGTATAGAGCTCTACTATAAAAGCTAGACGATTTTTTGTAGAGCAATTTTTGTACCATTTGTAATAAATATAAAGCTAATGATAGTAGGAATATTGACTTACACCAGCTGGAAGCGGACCTGCCACAGAACTCCTTGGTCTTCGGATTCCATATGTACCGCTTGAACTTCTCACTGGTGGGCATGGGGTCCTCCTTCTCCCTGTAGTACAGGTTGAACCGTTCCAGGCTCGTCAGGTCTGAAGGTCGCTTCTTCACCGTCATCTTGGTTAGTTATTTTTACTGAAAAGTGGGTAAAAGTTCTGTCAGTTCAAAAGGCCTGGTGACCATGGAAATTAAAGTTTTTTTTTCTATAGATAGCTCGGACAAATGACTCCACCCCACCTGATGTTAAGTGAAGGTGAAGTCCAGACGCGGAGATAGCTGATACAGCAGTTCTACCTGCTACACCAGCCATCCTCACCCTGCCGGCCTGCATGTTGCTTCTTCACGCCTCTTTTAAAGGATCCGAGGTTGTAAGAGGGAGGGAACACGTGAGCGGGCAGAGCATTCCATTTACGGATAGTACGACAAAGAAATGAGTCACCAAATTTCTTTGTACGCGTTGGAATTGTAGCCACAGTTAGACGGTGACAATGTAAGCCAACGCGCGTGGTCCTCTGAAGGAAAGGGGAAGGTGGAATAAGAGAGAATAACTCCTCAGAACACTCGCCGTGGTACAGATGATATAGCGACATCCCTTTCAACTATGGTCAAGACTAGATCAATCACGGAGAATCTTTCTATAATATGGGCCTAAGGGTCATTTCAAGAGATACCTTGATGTTCGTTCCCGCCAATCCGCACTAGGCCCGTGTGATGGGCTATGGCTCTCCCTATTCCATCCATAGGGAAGGCTTGTGCCGCAGCAGTGGGGACATTAACAGGCAGATGATGATTACAAAAGTTACATAAAGTAGGATAGATTAAAAGCTATGTTAGTATAAGAATATGATTGGCCATTAGTAGAAATTTTTGGTAAACAGAAAAATATTTTCATACTTTTATGTATTTCTTTCTTCTCCATTGCTTCGCATATTCTAACTACTCCACTTGGAGAACGTACAGAATATATACAATTACGATAGTTTAATAATTTATTGATTTATTGAAGAGACTTGTATTTAATATTAACCTTAAAGCTTTAATTAAAAAGTATTAAATTAAACTAGCTGTGCCCGCGACTTCGTTCGCGTGGATGTCGGAAAATAACCCAATATCACCCTTTATAACCACCTTGGGCTTAATATAAGTCGTTTTACTTTGCTGATTTGGTTGAAAATTGTTTAATCGCTACTTCTAAATTTAAAAGTAGTACCTAGCTATACTTAACTTTTGTTAATTAAATAAAACTAGTTTTTACGGGTTAATGCACGAAACTTTATTTATTTATTGACGTTTCGTAGCCTTTACAGGCTTCGTCGTCAGAATAAACTTTTATTTAATTTGTCGAGCTACCTTCGAAAGACTTATTGAGCGTTTGGTTATTTCATTGTTCGATTTTTAAGTTTTATTGTCTATGTATGAATTTATTATTTAATTTACTTAATAAAGTATTTTATTCCAAATTCTTTTTTGTAATTTTGAGTTTATTTATTTGACCCTAACTACCGTAAACTACCACCGGTTCCAAAATTGGGAGACCTTTCTGAGAAGAACCGGCGAAACAAACTCAAGAGAGGCTTTCTATCTCCTTCTTATGTTAAATTATGCAAACAAAAAGAACTAATAGTATCTGATGGTCTTGCAGTGTGTGCTCGGGGTTGGGATTTTATCTCCTGTATAATAATAAATAATAAATAAATAAATATTTCCAACACTCACACCAATTAGCTTAGCCCCAAAGTAAGCACTGTAAGGCTTGTGTTATGGGATGCTAGGGTAACGGATAGAATACATATACTGTACATATATAAGTATATTTATATAGAAATACATAAGAAATAAATAGGTTCCCAAGCTGGTGGTACATACCAACCATCTTTTGTTAATTAATAATATTAATGTAATGGAAGTTGACATCAACAAATGTTTTCAATTTTTGATGTCATCTTTCAATTGACGACACTGTTTGAAACAAAACAGGGAGAAAAAAACAGCCCTTGCTGAGTTTCTTGCCGGTTCTTCTCAGTACAATGTCTCCCGCCGTAGATTTACGAACCGATGGCGTAGCGTTTGACTTTCACAAGAGCTTGTAACTAAGCTTGTAACAGCCTAGACTGAATAAATGAGTTTCAGTTGAGTAACCTATTGGTACAAAAAATCGCTAAGAACTAATTTCAACCAAATACACACAAACAAAATCATAGAAATTGGTGGAGCCGTTTTGGAGGAGTTTGATAACAAACACTGTGACATGAGATTTATATACATTAGATTATGACATCATGGATCTGAGGATATAGACTTAAAATAAAAAGGTAGGTATATATAACTATTATTTATTAAGTCTATTTCCTATAACAGTAGTAATAAATTATTTTAAGTATAATTTTTATTGCACTTTCTGTTTCCCGCTAAGTTTTGAATCTCCGACACCACCTTGGTTGGTTGGAAGAGATCACCTTTGCTTTCTATGTATATGACTATATGTTTTAAACTATATGATGCAATAAAGAGTATCTCTTATCTATTAGACAAGTCCGTCCGTCCGTCTGTCTGTGGTGCTGTTTCAGCGGCCAAACCGTAAGAGATAGATAAAGAGAATATTTAAGTTATAAGTTAAGAATAGTCTGATAAGACTACAAACCGGATTTGAGTAACGTAGCATTTCCGGTTTTCGAGAAATCACGAATTTCAAACGAAACCACACAAAATCTCCGAAGTTCTCAATTAATTAAATACATTTTTTTTTAAATCAGGTTTTGGTGAACATTTGGTTCACTGGTTTGCTAGTAAAGAGTATAATATGTAAAGGGTTGTTTAAGAAATGTTGTATAATGAAACAAAACTCACCTGGACGGCGGTGTCCGGGCGGGCGGCGCGTGAGAGAGTAGATCACGCCGAGTGCGCCCGCGCATCGAGCGTCACAGGATAATAGGACCGCACTATGCGGAAGGGCGACAGCAAGTTACTTGAATGCATTTTCAAGCTTCAAGCATGATTCTGAACTCATGATCATCATCTGATCATTTTTATTAAATCATAATTTAGGCGGTTTCGTCTGAGCAAGTAAGTTCCAATTTATAAAGTTCACATGGCATTATTATTAAGATAACACCAAAATGTATAAAATTAATTATATTTCATTCACACCACTCATGAAACGAAATGAATCATTAAATGAAACAAGCTTAAATAAAATTAATTAACTAACCACTATTATGAGATAAAATAGAATTGTTAATTCTCTACAGAAATGTAAGCAATGAAAATGCCTTGACTAGCGAGCATACAGCAAACGATAATACAATTTCGACTAGGTACGGAATTCTTTTTTATTTTTTTTCCATAAGGTTTTTATCTTCAATTCATAAGTTATAAGGAACTTGTTCTTTAAATAAAGAGATTTCATGCCAGTATATATTGTAATGGTAGAGCTCGATGGCGCGTTCGGCTGCGATTGTTGAAGTTAAGCAACTTTCGCAGTAGTCGGTCATTGGATGGGTGACCTAAAATTTACTATCTCGTTAGCACCCACTAATTCGCACTGGGCCCGCGTGGTGGGTCGTGACCCAATTTTCCTATTCCATCCATAGGGAAGACCTGTGCCTCAGCAGTAGGGACATTAATAGGCTGATGATGATGATAATGATATATTGTAATCTAATGATGTTTTTATTACAAGTCTAAATATGACAAATAAATAACCATTTTCCCCGGCCTATTACTGTCTCTCATCGAACTAGAATACCTTAAGAGCCAATTCACAAATTTCCGCAGTTTAGGTAAATACGGCCGCGAGCCTGCACGAGTCGCATGAGCGAGACATCAACACGACAATGTTCAGTATAGTGCGCCACATCAATTTGATACTTTAATATACAAATGACAAGTAATTCAATAAGTGCAAAAAAGGCAATTTAATTTGAGTGACAAAGTGGCTGAAGCGCGCGACAGCGGCCGATTAAGGCAAGGGAGAGAGGGGTGGGGAATCGTGCGAGTGAGGTGTGGCGGCGTTTTGTATCGGCGCATTAAGTGGTCAGTGCCGGCCACAAGAAGCGAGCAACGACGATTTGTAGCGTGTGGCGGCCACCGGCGTACTGTGTGTGGCGAATCCATATAAAATGTATGAAAACTACAAGAAATATGCCGGTGGCGGCGTTTTGTGGTTGTGGTCGGTGGCCCGTGTGTGCTAGTAAACTGTCAATGAAAAAACCTTTAGATTTAAAAAAAAAACATTTAATCTAGAATGTCCCGGTTCAAATCAATGCATTATAAGAAGAGTTATAATCGAATAAAGTCAACATATATATGTAATAAAAACAATATGAATCGAAATTAATTAATTCAGTGCATATAACCCGTTAAAACTGTTTTATTTACTAATTTGCATGTCTCCCTACCGCATAACATCGCCCTCGTCCTCAGTTCGCCCCCTCACGTAAGGTACAATGATGACGATGTGTCACGCCATGATTAATGTGCCTTATGTAAGGACGAGCTGCAATCGCTTTTGCCTTGTCTGTTAATAGCGAGGATTGACACTGGATCATGCAGTCTGGAGTACGCACGCTTGAAAAGCTGATAAAAATATTGATAAATTTAAAAAAAATCCATGGTCCAGGCAGGAGACGGGACTAGAACCCGACCCGCACCATTCAACTACTCCATCCGGGCGGATGCACTGACCAATTATGTGTCGAATTTCTTCTAGTACCTCTCTAGTAGCTCTTAAGGCAACGCTTTGCAGCCTAAGACATCCACTATCCCACTGTGTCAAACAAAATACCTTTACAAGTACTAAACATTAGAAAGATGAAATAACAATTTACTAGTCAAGTTTTCTTTACATTTAAACAACTCGTTAAATCTAAAGAAAATATAACTAGAAAAAATTCCACGCGGACCAGGCAGCAGACGGGACTCGAACCCGCACCCTTCGCAATCCGGGCGAATGCACTGACCAATTATGCTACCGCGGCCCTCACGGATAATTGGTCAGTGCATTCGCCCGGATTGCGAAGGGTGCGGGTTCGAGTCCCGTCTGCTGCCTGGTCCGCGTGGAATTTTTTCTAGTTATATTTTCTTTAGATTTAAACATCAAGCAGTTACATGCTTTAAAAATAATAAAAATTATAACTCGTTAAATGCTTAAAAATATAATATTGATAAATGACAAAATTAGCAGCAGCTAAAAGGTGCAGTGGTCAGTGCGTTAGTTCTGCAGTCGTTGGGGTGGGTCATGGTCCCACGATCCCTATTTCATCCATACGTAAGGCCCTTTTTTTTATAACGCAGGTAAAAAATGCTATTTATGTCCCGCAGACCACCATGCCATACGGCAGGCACCATGCTCGAGGATGGTTTTGATGCGAGGACCCAATGGAGGAGTGACTGGAAGACAACGACGGAAGGAACACTTGCTGAAAAGTTCACCCCAGGAGTGAGGCCAGCAGGCTTTGATCTACCCAGGCGAGAGTGGTGCCTCCTCAACAGACTGCGGACGGGTCACGGTCTCTGTGCCCACTACAAACATCGATGCGGCTGGATCGACTCGCCCCGATGTGAATGCGGTGCCGACGTACAGACCATCCTGGCCTGCCCCTCTAGCATGACCACCGAAACGGGATATGATAAAGCGATATATCGACATTAACTGTCAAACTCCATAGTAGTCTGACAGTTAATGCCGATATATCGCTTTATCATACCCCGTTTCGGTGATCATGCTAGAGGGGCACGTTTCCCTCGATATCGACGCTGCCAATTGGCTAAGACATTTAGATTTTAAAGTCTGATTCCTGTGACAAGACAATGCCATACAAATAAAAAAAAAAGTGGCTGTCCACCTGGGACCCCGCAACTCTTACGGGCGCTTTACGGCATAATATCCGCTAAAAAGGTCCTGCGAATACCTTCTAAGCTGCTTAGCGTGAAGCCGCGGGATCCCCGTTTAGGGATTCTTCCGCGTATCCATACGTAAGGCCTGTGCCCCAGCAGCAACATTAACAGGCTGACGATTCAGCTAGGACTAATCGCTTAACTTGCAATCCGTAGCACGATGGTCTTCAAGATAATACATTTTTGGTCACCCATCCTTGATCGGTCATTCGGAAAGTTGCTCTGCGGTATCCTTATCTCTGCCATAACCACGAGTCTACGATACGATACAATTTGATTTCGACTAATATCATCTATAATAAAAAAAGCTTATAAAAAAAGCGTATTATTCTGTTGATGAATTTATGAATGAAAAATAAATGTAATTTAATTTAACTTAATTATGCTTGACCTGTTTGTTTGATTTGATTTAGTTTAACTTAATTATGTTTGACCTATTAATTCGATATAATGTGATTTAACTTGACAAGATATGATTTTGATTTGACTATGATGATATGATATGATTATGATGACATGATATGATATAAATTGACTTGATTAATTTTTAAAATGGATTGATTTTGTTTAAATTTGGTTGGACCTAATGTGATTTGATATGACCAGCAATTAAGTGAAAATAATGTATTTAACGTTAAGCTCAAGTTTGTTGCAACACCCCAACGGGGTCATGTACCACTCACTATTAAGTATATATAAGACCTTATAATAAATAATGTACATGAGCAATGTGATATAAATAAATAAATAAATAATAATCTAAACTAGTCCTGTCTGCTGCTTGGACCGCGTGGAATTTATTTCCGTTTTTTTTTTTAATTTAGAAATAGTTATTTTCCTTTATCTACTCATCATTATTACACCAATGGACGTGTGATTGGCGTTCAAGTATCATGCGTTAAGCGCACTCCTCTTTCTTGTGTACCATAAAAAACTGGAAAGACCTTCCCACAGCCGTTTGCCCTATTAACTATGATAATGACTGTCTTCACAAGGCGGGTGAATCTTTTTCTTCAAAACCGGCAACGCAAGAGTTATACCCTTGATGCTGCAAGTGTCCATGAACGGTATTGACCACTTACAATCAGTTGGACTACCATAAAAATAAAAAAAATACTTCAATCTCCATTAAAGTACATTTAAAGTAAAATTCACAAACATTTTGAGTCGGTGCCATACCCTTCGCTGTTTCCGCAACTCGACACCCAGTTCCTATTTTGCGTGGGGATTGGCATCAGTCCTGCCATCCCAGCTCCTCCTGAAAGCTCAGCAGTTCCCGGATGTTGCTGCAGGCCTCTATTAGCTGTACTATGTACGTATTGTAATTTTGTGACATGCGGAAATTGTTTTACTAACAAATTAATCGTGTCGTGATAAACTCATGATATATGCAGTCAGTTGGTTGCTTTGAAGGGATATCGCTCTCAGCCTGTCTCTGTTCTGGTGTTCCGCAGGGCTGACATTTGGGACCTTCACTTTTTGTCCTGTTCATTAACGACCGAATCCCAAAACTAAAAAATATGTCATTACTGTATGCGGATGACTTGAAAATATTTAAATGCATAGATTCGGTAAGAGAATGCAGTCGGTTGCAAACAGATATCATGGCTTTGTTTGATTGGTGTAAAGACAACGGCATGTGTCTGAGCATCGGTTAGTAGCACGTGATTTAGGCGTATTATTTGATGATAAGATGAGATTTAATCATCAATGTGAAGCGCTTTCCAAGAAGTATAGGAAGTTGGTTGGGTTTATTTCTCGTGTGTCTAAAGAGTTCAGGTCACCAAACAGCTTACTTTTATTATATAAATCGCTAGTGCTCAGCCAACTAGATTATGCTTCGGTAGTTTGGTCACCGCAATATAATAAATATATTGACTTGCTTGAATCAGTTCAAAGGCGCTTTCTTAGAACGTTGACACTACGATTTGGCTTTAAAAGTAAATTAACAAATTATAATGAACGTCTGCGCTTCTTTGGATTGAAGACTCTCGAAAGCCGACACAAGGTTCAAGATCTCACTTGCCTACATAAGATCATTAACGGCTCTATGTCGACAACTCTTTTAAACGATTTTTATATCAAGGTT